TCAGTGAACCAGCTAGTATAAACCACTAGTCCATGAAGCCATTCACTCCCTTTAAAATGATGATAAGTGCGGGGAATCCGTGTGAATCTTTGGTTTGGGCATTTAACTCAGGTCAGTACACTGAGAGTCAATGATTTCAAACTGGGGAAAACAAACATATAAACTAATTTTAAACAAACAAACAAGAAATCCCAGTAAATCCAGCAAGCAACACTGAACGGATAGCAAGGCTAGGTTTTTGGACTCCAAACCTGTGCTGATTTAGAAGCCAGGATAAGGAAAGATTAGTGACTGACAATTCTTAAATTGATCTTTCTGCTGAAGCCCCCCATACCAGCTCCTTTTCAAGTGTGGTCTTTGTGCTTTGTTTGGTGGAGCCTGGCAGTAAATACATTTTTCCTTAAACTAGCCTCAGTGTATAGTTGTCCTTCAACTACAAGGGCACGATTCAATTGTGATAACTCCTCATTTATAGTAAGAGCTGCTGTTTAAATAATAAAATGTTAAATTATTTAAGACAATTTTGAACCAACAGCTATTCAGATTTCTCTATTCAATCATTTTTCCACAATACTATAATGTTCCCATAAGAATATAGCAGTTCAGTTTTGTACAAAGGTACTGTGTAAACAAAAAATAATGAAATTAACATCATGAAATTTTGGTTTATTTTTAATACCCTCAGCCCATGAGGAATAAGTTCTCTTCTTTTCTCTACTTTACACTTAACATATCTCCTGGTGAGTTACTTTCTCATTTGACTCTGGCTGTCCTGATGTGTGAAAAACAAGTGCAAATCATTTCATATTGGAATTAATAATGAGTACCTTTAAAGACGAACTGTGATCATAGAGGTTTGTTTTTTTTAATCTTCTTAGAATAAAAAATAAATATTTGAACGTGGTGTTCAGGACGAGATGGGGTTGTGCTGCAGGAAAGGGCATGGATAGCCTTAGGTGACCTCTTTGGCTTCCCTTTGGCTGAGAGGCAGCAGTGAACAGACCTTCACCCTCCATCGCTCCTGACCTTGTTCTGACCTCAGCCCTTCCTCCCACAGCACTCTCCTTGCCTTCTGGGTTCCATAACTCTTCACAATGGCGACACAGAACTCACAAACAATACTCAAGATTAAGGGGGTCTATGAGGGGAGTTCACAATTCACCACAAGTCAGGAGCAGTAAACAATAAGAATGCAATCATTGGTCCACAGAAACAGTCGGCTCAACCAGCAGTCAAGTCTTTCTCTGGTTCTCAGCCTCTCATCCGCAGGGTCCAGAGGTCTGTGCCTTTGTGGAGCAGGTGGCCCATCTGTCTAACAGTCTCATAGTCTCAGGCCAGAGGAAGAGACGTCCCCAGTTTCTGTGAGTCTACATGCCACAGCCCCTGGTGCCTCTGGTCTCAGCCTTCACCGTTTCAGACCAGGAGCTCAAAAGTGTTCTTCTGATGGCCCATGGGTTTCCCTCTGTGTCTGGGAAATAGCTTTGCTGAAAGTATGCTTTTGGCTTTGTTTGTTTTGTTGTTGTTGTTTTTCTTTTAGTAGACCATACCACCAAGTAAACAAAGGGTTTGGTTTGGTTCACACTTTCTATTAGGTTCAAGACTTAACCCCACCTTAATCCTTTCCACGACTATAGTAAAGAACTCCCTCTGTAATGGCTTTATAGCCACTGGCATCGAGTCAAGAATGGTAGCACATCACACAGGAAACAATGACTAGAAGGGATGTATTAATTGATATCATCTCAGTGCCTTTATGGCAAAGACATACATGTCTTAGTGTACCAGGAAAGGTAAGTAATTAAAAATTCTACTAGAGATAATTTTGGCAAATGTTGGCTATATTATAGAGTAGAATCTACCCTGGTAAGCAAAGCTTACTAAAATGAGAGAGACAACCCTTTTCAATCACATAACTTCTTGAGGGGGTTGGGCAGGGGAAGAGTAAGTAAAACATAGCCTCTACACTGAAGGTGCCTGTAATGGTCATGACTAGACATTAACATGAATAGTCATCATGTACAATGGAAAGTACCACAGATTGTGGACTTCAGTAGGTAGGCTTCCCCTTTCCCGTGTGATAATAAAAGATCACAGAAGATACGATCAGGCACACAAGGGATACTGCATTGCCTGGCATACAGTTTTCAAGCAGAAAATTCTCACCCACCCCAAGTAAAGATAAATAAAATAACTTATTCTTCCTACATCATGCATTTGTTGTGAGTGTTTTTCTGCTCTAAGTTTTGGAAACCTGAATCAGTTTTCATGGAATAATAGCTAACTTAAAACAGTAAAGCATAATTCCATTCTAAATAAGGTGTAGTCTTATCACAGAAGTTAAATGAGTTTAAGTGAGGAAATGATGAAGTAGGAAGAATCTTCAAAAAAAGGAAAAACACATAATAAATTAGTATTTTTAAAAGCAATTTTAAAAAGGAGGCCTCATGGCATAGTGATTAAAAGAGCTAGGCTGTTAACCAAAAGGCTGGCTGTTCAAACCCACCACCTGCTGTGGGAGAAGACCTGTCAGTCTGCTGTTATGCAGATGCACAGCCTTGGGAACCCCACAGGGCAGTTAACCCTAGAGGGCTGCTGTGAGTATGAATCAAACCCAGGACACTAGGATTCTGTCTAATTTAGAAAAGATATTTATTACTGGAATTAAGAGGTAAAATCCTCAGTTCAGCTGAAGAACACTTGTGTTCCTTACATTTAAAGCACAACAGTCACTGACTAACAGTGAAATAAAATCATGCATTTTAAGGACTTTAAGGACTTCAAAACATAGAAGAACATACAAGCGCAGTGGTTTTCCTCCCTATGTTATTAAGGCAGGCACACAGAAACTCCAGGACAGCCAGAGACCACTATTGAAGAAGCAGGTATATGGTCACTTGCCCAATGATGTTTATCAATTAACCTGTAGGGGCTCAGAGATGGGTCACCTGATCCAATGGGGAGGAGGGATGGGGGTGGGAGATTTTTGAAGACGCAATCACCTAGTTAAAAGATTCAAATTGTTACATCATTGAAATATGTAAGCTTATTAAGGCTAGCACAAACATAAGGTGTTATCTCGTTAACTATGTTGATTCTTTCTCTGTTATAACACACACAATTCTCTCGCACACAAGCGCACACACAGTCCTGGGTGGATTTTCTCTATAGGTGGAAGATATGCTTGGAATAGAGTCTGCTTAGATGACAGATGATGTATTACACCTGGAATTTTATTGGTTCTTGCGAAGGGTTCTTCACAGAGAGAGTTAGTTACAGAGGTTGAATCCACAGTCCCAACGAGCTCTATGCTGGTTGCAGTGGGTAGAGAAAACAAACAATGGCTTTAAACACGAGTCTTGCATCCATTGTTCCACAGGTGCATGTTCTAAATTATACGGTGAGTA